GTAACATTGGCATGTGTATATATTGCGATTTCTTCAGGCAGTAGAAGCCACACTGTCAAAATTTCTTTAGGAATTTTCTAGTTCTTTCTATTATTATATCAAAAATCCAATTATCTTTTCTTCCTGTGAAACAAAATATGACGTAATAATATCATGACATCTATCCACCAATCAATCTGCAGCTTTTATAACAGGAAGCTGTGGGAGGAGCCAGACGCTGCGTCCTGAGCTCGCCCACTTTTTAGCCGTCCAATCAAATTCCCAGGACTTGATTTGAACATCTTTTTTGCCAATATAGTAACATCGAGAGCGTACGGAGGCGTATTAAGTAGAAATAAAATAATTTACAGAGCCGACTTCATTACCATTCATTTTTGATGATTCAACTCCAACACCAAAATTTCAATGAAATATAATCAACTAAATATAAGTATTGTTACAGTTTAAACTACCAGCAGTATATCAAGTCATTTAAATAAGCTCCACCTTCACTAGCTCCTACATTTAGAATACAGTAATATAATATACTTTTACTTTTGGTACTTTAAGCAGAATTAGTAGTGAATACTTTTGTGCTTTTACTTCAGTAAGCTTTATCTTGTAACAGAGTATTTGTACACTGTGGTAGTAGTACTTGAATAAAAGGTCAGAGTACTTCTACCACCTGGAACACCTGAGGAGAAGTAGGAGTGGATTAAGAGAAGTGGACGTAGAGGTTCAACCACTTCCCACTTTCACTCAGCGCTCTGACATCACTTCCTGCTGATGGTCCACTTCCTGTCAGCATCTGTCACTTCATTCAGAGCTGATGGAGGACGCACGGGTTTCAGCAGCAGGTGAACGGTGTGTTTTTAAATGAAGGATAAATGTGAAGAGAGAGAACGTGGAGCTGTATTGATCTGTGATGGGGGGGGGTATTAATGGAAACATAACCTCTATTATTGAGCTGGTTCTACATGTCGTTGGGATGAATCTGGTCATTTGCATTGAGGACAGGTTGAGCCGTTGTGTTTATATATTTGTTTATTATTAAAGCATATCTCAGAGTTATTGAAGGTTGTGAGTCTGAACGCCGACTAAACGACCACCAGGTCCACTAATACTGGATCAGAACAGGAACCTGGGACAGGTTCAGGATTTGGGTTTCTGTCAGCTGATCAGTAACGGGAAATGTCTCACTAGCTTTGTGCTAAATGCTAACATGTTGACTTTTTTTTTACCGCCAGAGTTCCCATCATGCATTGGGTGAAGGGTTAGGGGTGAACACCTGAATGTCATTTACCAGTGTTGCCACTATTCTATTCTGTTCAGTACACCTGGAGTCAGGATGTGGTTAGCTTAGCTTAGCATAAAGACTCGAAACAGCTAGCTTAGCTTAGCATAAAGACTAGAAACAGGAGGAACAGCTATCTTAGCTTAGCATAAAGAGCTAGCTTAGCTTAGCATAAAGACTGGAAACAGGGGGAAACAGCTAGCCTGGCTCCGTCCAATGTTCAAGAATCCACCTACCAAAACCTCTGAAGCTCACAGATTAACATGTTTTATCTCGTTTGTTTGATTTGTAGAAACGGGTTCCTGTTTTAAGGCGAGTTGTGTACTGAAAGTAGTTCTTGGTTACCAACAGCGTATCCCTCCGCCCAGTGCTTCAGTTAGTCCAGCCATCGTGTCAGAGTAGAGAGATTATAAGATTTAAACTCAGTTGAGGTCGTATATAAAACCAGCACAGAGGTGCTTTGTGCTAAATGCTAACATGTTGACTTTCCCCCATCATGCATTGGGGTTAAGGGTCAAATACGTTTTAAATCATTTTTTAAAATCTGCATCATGAAAATAATCGCGTTGCTACTTTTAGCCGCTATCACTTCCTGTTTTTATTACCGTGACCATGGTCCCGACTCCTCGTCCCGTCTCCTTATAATTACATTTATACTAATGCAATAACTACATATATTCTCTCACTATAGAATGACTGTATTTATTTATTTCATATACTTTAAACTTGTATGTACTACCTCTCCTAGTTTGCTGGTATTCATGACAAAGACACTGCAGAGGTAAAGGAGGAACTCGGAACAGGAACCAGTCAACGTGTTGCTTTGGTTCCTCAGCACAACAGAACGGGATCTGAAAGTCCTAAAATAACGTGTTTGTTGTCAGGGAGCGTCCGGTGAACCGCCCCCCCGAGCTGCTGTACCCTCAGGCCGACGTGGCGGAGCGCCTGGCGCTCGGCGGCGGTGACGAGTCGCTGGTGAACGGAACCAAGGCCGACCTGCAGGCCGCCAAACGACTCGCCAAACGCCTCTACAGCCTGGACGGGTTCAGGAAGTCCGACGTGGCTCGACACCTCGGAAAGAAGTGAGTCGGCGTTCATTACCTCGTTACGTGTGTTTAGTTTGTGTTTTTATGTTTAACTTCTGTTTCTGTCTGCAGCAACGAGTTCAGTCAGATGGTGGCAGAGGAATACCTCAGTAACTTCAACTTCACGGGTCTGACCATCGATCAGGCTCTCAGGTCAGTCCTGAGTTCTGTTATTAGACATCAGAAAGCATTAAGATGTTAGCTCAAACAAATGCTGAATGAAACAACCAGAAATCACTTCACTGAATGTTTAAATGTGTATAAAATACTATGACTATTAAGTAATAGTGTTGTTTTAATAGTGTTGTTTTCCTGTCAAACTGTACAACTGTGTTATCTGCTTAAAATATCTGCTACTGTGATTTAAAAAAAAAAAAGTCCACAGCTACAGGAAGCCAACTACGATTCCCAGGGTGCATCATGATGAGTAAAGTTTTGTGTCTGCAGGTCGTTTCTGAGTCAGTTCGCTCTGATGGGAGAAACTCAGGAGAGAGAGAGAGTCCTCGCTCAGTTCTCCAGGAGATACAGACAGAGCAACCCAGAGACTGTCCCCACTGAAGGTACCTGTCTGTCTGCTGCCTCCCCCGTCTCTAGCCTGCCTCCCCCGTCTCTAGCCTGCCTCCCCCGTCTCTAACCTGTCTCCCCTCTGTCTCCCTGGCTCTCAGACAGCGTCCACACTCTGACGTGTGCCGTCATGTTGCTGAACTCAGACCTTCATGGAAACGTGAGTCTGATTTAATATCAATGTTTATTCTGCCAGTGAGTCAGGAACAGGAACTCCTTATATGGTCGAATGAAGCAGCTCCCCAGATCCACTCTGTCCTCTTAATGACGGTGCATTACAGCTCTTATTGTTATAGTTCTGCTCTTCTGTACATTATTACAGCGTATTTAACCAACGTGTAGAACATCGGTATGTGCAGATAAGAAGGAACCAGCCAACCAATGTGAAAGAGATGGACTGTTAGTAGCGATTTAAAGAGAATACAAGATTTACCATCAGAAACATAAAGCACAATGTTATACAGTATCCAACACCTTTAGGCACATTCAGGTACATTCATAAGCACCGTAATCCAATAAAGGTAAAACAAATTGTACTTGAACGGAGGGAGAAACGTGATTTGTTTCTAAAAAAGAAACCTCATTTCAGTTTCAGTTTGGTTTTCAATGTGTGATTTTGAAAAACAAGTTTCTATTTCAGTTTGAACCCCTTGAACAGTTGAGATGTTAAGGTAGATTAGATGATTATCTTTTTCTCATAAATAAAGCTACATTTAACAACTTAAGTTAAGTTAAAAGAGGCTGATTTAAGGCAGACTGCAGTAGAATTCAAGGTGTTCTACTGCTGAAGATGATGAGCTGTGAGTCATCTGCATAAAGATTTAACGCAGCAATGACAAACAATCACAATATTATTGATATATATGGAGAGCAGCAATGGTCCCAGTATGGAGCCCTGGGGAACACCAGCAAAGACCCAACAAACTAAACACATTGTGTTCGAACTGGCAAGTAATCTGAAAACCAACCAACAGCATGTCCTCACAAGCACGTATTTATAGCATTGGAACTGTATTAATAACTATTGATATTAATTATATTGATCATACGCAGCAGATATCCAGAGAACCTAAACGTTTGAAATCAAGAGGCTCGCCAATAACATCTCAAATGTATTCAGTAAATTCTCTACAAAGTAAAAGTCAAAACTAAGATTACAATTGTCTAATATTCACATTTCATAGCTGCCACTTTGGGGCTTATTTCCAGAGCTCTCTACCACTCATCATGGTTCTCCCTCAGCAGATGGAGTTTACTCGGTTGTCATGGAGATTAGCTCAGTTTTTGGTGATAATTACTGTGAGTTGCATCTCAGTGTGAACTCTGCACAGCGAGCCCCCCCGAGGTGACGGTGACTTCTGCCCAACAAGCTGTCCAATAACATGCTGAGCAACAGCCATGAGTCACAGTTTCTACATAATGAGACGTTTAGTCAACACTTTACATTCAATCAGGGAAAGTACTGCATTCAAACTTTCTACAGTATAAAGTACAACATGTACCTCTGAGATGTGGTACAGTATAAAGTACAACATGTACCTCTGAGATGTGGTACAGTATAAAGTACAACATGTACCTCTGAGATGTGGTGCAGTATAAAGTACAACATGTACCTCTGAGATGTGGTACAGTATAAAGTACATCATGCACCTCTGAGGTGTGGTACAGTATAAAGTACATCATGCACCTCTGAGGTGTGGTACAGTATAAAGTACAACATGCACCTCTGAGGTGTAGAAGAGGAAGTAGATATATTAAATATTAAACTTATTTTGACATAACTTTTAACTCTATAAAGTTGGATATTTTTAAATACAGAGGCGACCTCCTATTGTTCTCACAGACCTGGGCCCCCAGGCAGGAGGAGTGGCATTATGGGAAATGTAGGCTTTAGGGGTTAAGACAGACTGAAAGTCAGGATATTTTTTCACCTTTTATGTCTGTCGTTCCTCCCCCAACTTTATAGAAATACAATAATGAAACAGAACTAAATCATTCATTAAGTGTGTGTGTGTGTGTGTGTGTGTGTGTGTGTGTGTGTGTGTGTGTG